AATATATATATATATATATATATATATTTGAATGCCACATGAGTGCTACATAACTCGTAAATGAACAAAATATTTCAATAAAAATCGGATATGATCAAAATATAAAAGCACTCTCCATATGCTCAAATTATTTTTTCTTTACAAACATATATATAATTTTTGCACAAAACAACAAAGCAGTTTGAGTTACTCAAAAAAAAACAACATAAAAGTAAAATACGATATGGCCTAAAAAGGAAATTTGGAGAGATAATCTCTTGACTTGTTCCAAAATATGACACTTCTAGCCCCCCCCCCCAAGGTTTTGTACACAAAAATTGGACTCAAGCACATCAGATGCACCTGGAGAATCTATAGAGCAAGTCTATTGTCAATAAGTGATAACATCATCAATGAATGTCAACTTTTGGTTATATTAAAAACCACTGTTAACACTTCTGTATATTAAAGAGTAGTTTCTTAAGTTATTTTGATATAAAAAGCAAATATGTTGGGTGTAAATGTTTGATAATTATCTTGTTTTTTACAGAGTATATATTAAAAAAAAGACTTGTCATTTATTAACCAATATATACTCTTCACTGCTAAAAAACTTACATTTATTGCCAACTTTTATGTTCTTCCTTATTTTAAGAGTTAGGTGATATATATCATTACAGCTCAGTGAAAAAATTCATTACTCAGTAGAGCTGTAATAACATACACATCTACCTTGACAATGATGAAAAACAGAAACTTGGAGATAAGTTTAAGCCTTTTATTAGTGGGAAGACCATAATTTGGTAAATAATCTCTGTTTGAGCTAGCTATGTGTGTTTCAGTTTGTAACTTAGGTCCACTCTATCTTATTGAAAGAAACATTATGCTTGGTAATCATTTTACACTCTTACATGTGTCTGCTACTAGTTAGGCATTGTACAATAAGAAAAAAATCCATTCAACAATACTGATACATTTTAAATTCATAATTTGATAAGCAATAAAACTGCAAGCAAATAGCTTAACTTGCACTTTAACATTTTTAAGAGTTTAACTTTAACTTTGCAATTTTTTTGTAAAAACATTTTAAAGAGTTTAACTTTAACTTTGCAATTTTTTTGTAAAAACATTTTTAACAAGAATTTATAAGTGATTTAACAGCATTTGAATCAAAACAGTGAATGTATTGCTGTGCATTTAAATTCTGTATACTTGGAAATAAATCATTATAAATTTTTTTCCTTCTAAAATAAGTCCATTTTGATGTCTTTCATTCTTATCGTCACTTTAAAATAAAGTATGAGAATTATTATGATTTATTCTCAACTTAAAATATTTTTATCTTTGATGAAATATTTTTTTGAAAGTTAAAACATATGTATAACAATAATTTGTATTTTTCAATTTTCTTAATATTTTGGCTTAAAAAAGTTAGCGATGTAATTGCTTCTTACATGGTAACACCAAACCAAAGAACAGAGTGGTAAGAACAGTTAATTTTAACAAATAACTACTGTTTTTTAGGTACATGTAAAACTTGTTTACAGAAATATGATTCTGACTATTATATAAATAGTTCTAAAAGAAATCACCCACAGAAACACATCTTGCATAGTGTACTGTATAATTTAAATACTCTTTAATGAAACAAGTGTCTAGCTTTCTGTTTCACATTTACTTTACTTCATTATTAAAATAAAATAACTTTATTACCTTGGACTTGCTGAAGCTCATTATGGGACTAACAAATTGTAATAACCTGGGGTGTGTTGAGTCTCAGTAGTGAAATAAATGAAAATGTAATCTAGAATACACTGATGGTCATTATTACAACACAGAAAAAGCAGTCAGTTTGGTGTGTTTCGAGCATTTTTAATTTCATTATTATATGAAAAAGCTGATGTTAATTAGGAGGTTATTCAGTTTCTTTAATAAAATGGAGGAACACTGAATTTGAAAAATGTTGAAGGTCATTACTGAAATAAAGAAAGAGTAAATGTGGAATATGCTGAGGGACATTACTACAATAATGAAAAAGCTGTCAATATGGAGTGTGGGGAGGTTCATTACCGAAATAAAGAAAGAGTAAATGTGGAATATGCTGAGGGACATTACTACAATAATGAAAAAGCTGTCAATATGGAGTGTGGGGAGGTTCATTACTGAAATATGGGGCAGTATTATGATCCAACAAGGTGTGACATACAGAGCATACCTTAAATGGTCGCTTCTTTGGGCCACTGTACACTATTTTGGAGGTGCAGTCAACACAAAATATTTTTCCACAATGGTTACAGTGGTTCTAAAAGAAAAGAAAAGTAAGACTAACTGTTCTGTTAGACACACTTGTAAATTAAGAAACTTGTTATTAAGAAAAAATAATAATATAAACAATATTTCAATTTATACTCTTTAAACAAGATGCCCTGAAAATAAAACTTGTTAAACACAACAAGTGAGAGAATCTTAATAAAAAATTTCTGTGAACATATTTAAGACACAATTCAAATGAGGTGGGACAAAAGGAAGAACAACCCAATTGTTCAACAACCCAACTGTTTCTATGTAGCAATTACTGTACAATCATGCAATATGTGATTCTGAAAATTTCTGCTTGATACCATTTTTAAATTTTTAACAAAAAAACAAATGTGAAGATAACGAAATGCAATATTTCTTTTTCACAATTACTCCATACCTTCTTGAGAAAATCAAAATTCAAAACAGTGGACACACAAAGATGTTTTAAAGATAATGGACAGTTTCTAATCTTATGTCTATAATACTCATACTTTGGTGTACACTATGTAACCTTTAATTTACAACAAATACAATGTCTAATAAATTACAAATAATAAGATATTATTCATCCAAGCAATTCAATTACTTATAGTGTGAGGTGGTAATCCTTCATTTTTCATTTACTAATATTTATATATTTCAAGTAACTTTCCTTTTTCTTGTTTAGTTGAACTGTCTTCGAGTTCCTTTAAGAAATACAAGCTCACTTCCATTAGTTAGTTAATTTTAGCACTAACTTTTGCAGAGAGACAAAATGACTGACAGTAGGTAGTTCTGTAATTAATGCCAAAATAGTAGATAGCTGTATGTAAAAATACATATAGTTTGTTGTCGCAGTATGTAAACATGTTCATCAGATGTTCTGTCAATAGCACATAGTAAACAAATGCTGAATTGTAACTTTTGTCATCTGGTAGAAAATAAAAGAAAATTGAAGCCAGATGATTAAAAGATTAGAGAGCAGGATAATGTGTGAATTTCTTATTTAGATTATAGTTATAATTAGAGAATTGTAGGTGATATTAAGTGGATTTTTTGAGAACATTTCTCAAGTCAGGTTTTTATTTCTAGTTCTCTTTCCTAACTTTGCCAAAGTTAGGAAAGAGAACTTATATTTATTTTATGTAGTTAAACATTTCTAAGTTTCAGATGCATAGTTTTTTTTAAAAAATGGGTCCTGCATTATTTTTTGATTCTGAGTATATTCTATTTTTTTAAAAGGTTTTAATAAATATCTGTTTTATTAAAAATCCTGGTAGTAACATTTCAGTTGTTCTTAGCTAGGATAAAAGATTTGTAACAATATCAGAGAGTGCTCTAGCGCTTTCTATGTAGGGATGGCAATATAAAAGTCATCAGGATTTTCTTCTATACAAGTCATCAAAAGCTAGATATGAAGAGCTATCTGGCATAGATGCTCTATCTCCAGTGTACATGCCGCTTTTCAGCTATCCAGAGTGTCCCAAGGTTGAAAACCAGCAAATAGCCAAAAACCAAGATTTCTTATTTTTATTCAAGATCATCTTTCTTCAACAGGCCCAGCGCCGAGCTAGTTCTAGCAGTAACTATAATTTTATCATCATTTGATAGAGCAATACAGTCTTCACAGCCTTTGACTACCTATCTTATTATTATTATATGCAAAATGTATAACGTTTTAGAATACACCCTATAACCTAGTGACCCACATACACCATATCTTAGAAAAAAAAGTAAACAAACAAGTATAACGAAAAAATTTATCACTAAATAAAAAAAGCTATGTAAGGCTGGCTACTGAACTTGAAAAAAAGGAACCAAACAAGATAGGGATGGAAGTGGACATATTACTTGATTGTGTAATAATCACATTATACACTAAGCTGTCTCGACTTTACATGGAAAATAAAATCAGCTGATCACTTGATATGTCTACTTCCATTTCTATCTTGTTTGGTTCCTTTTTTAAGTACAGTAGCCAGCATTACATAGCTTTTTTATTTAGTGATAAATTTTTTCGTTATACTTGTGAGAAATATGCATAAGTAAGACAACCTTATTAATACTGTATACATAAAATGTGTTTAATATTAAAGGGAAATAACTACTTATGACAGTACACTCATTGTGTGTGCATTTCTATATGAAAACACTATACAAGTATACCTGCTATAATGCGTTGAATGCAGTCCTGAAAAATGGCACATTATAATATGCAGGTTTTTCCATAGGAACAATGTTATAAACCAGGGATGCATTCCTCCACAATTATTTTTCCCTTAAAGTCAATTTTATTAATGGTATAAACCACTTTTGCAACATATATTGATACATAATAATGTAAAGAAACAAATGTTACATGCAAGACATTTAATTTGAAAACAAATAAATACAAAAACGTGTAAAAAAAAATTGTTTATTAAAAATTAATTTTTTGTACCCTAACACCTTCTGCCGACTTTTGTTACTTTTTAAAGCTTAGCATTCCTTTTTGTTTTTCGTATAAATTTCTTTGTAGCAGTTGGGGTCCATGTTTGAAACTGATTTGCTAAGATCATCAGCAAGTTATGATCTTTGGTTCATCATCGCTTTCATCAGGATTGCTGTCTGATTCGTCTGCTGCCCGATCTCTGTCAATTTGCATAAATTCATTGTTAGTGATTTCTTGGAAATGATCAGCCAGCATTTCTTCTACATCTGCTCCCTCCAAATCTTTGATGCCAGCATCCTGGGCAAGTCCAACAATCTCCATCGTTAATTGTGGCAATGTGTTTTTAAAGCTTTCGAAATCGGTGATGTCATGTAGGCCAGTTTTTTTACAAACCCCATTCAATGTCAGCTCATGACAAAGCAATACTGTCAATGCCTTTTTTTGTATTGAATTCCTTCCAATATGTCCTGATGTTTCCTCCTCCTCCTTCGGTGACATATACTAATTGTTCCAATGTTTTTCTCAGATAATAGGCTTTAAAAACAGATATCACACCCT